GGCAGATGCCGGGACGCGCTGCCCGGCTGCAGCTGCGGCACGGTGGTCCCTGTCGTTACCCGAGCTGCAGGGAGTCGCCGCTGGAGAGGGGCGCGGCGCCCGGCGGGACTGCAGGTGTGTGCCTGGGCGGCGGGATGGGCGCTAAAGGAGGGCGCGCGTGGGAGCGCGAGGCGAGGCCAGAACAGGTTGGGGACCGTCGGGGCGAGGTGCTGTGAGAGCAGCTGCGGCGGGCACCATCCCGGAGACAGAGGGACCTCCGGGGACCGTTCAGCCTAACCTAGCCAGGTTGAACGCCTCTCCGACCCCGTCACAGGCTGCTTTGGCCCTGAGGTCGAGAAGCTGGTCTTCTCCGCCAGAGAACCTCGGGTGGCCCCTGGCATCAAGGCTGCCTTGCCGCCAGGACCTGGGAGTTGTGGTATTGTCGCCCAGGCGCCCTCCGCCCAGCCTCAGGCGGCCCCTCGCTAGTGAGCCTGGGTCCCCCAGACAGCGAAGTTCTGAGAAGTGCACGCTGTGCGCTGTCAGAGGATCCGTGTTTACACGCCGAGTGTCCCCGCGTGACTGCGTGCATGCCCGCGTGAGTGCGCGCGTGCGCCCTGGCCCGTCCCAGACAGGGCTAAATACACTAGCAGTGCAGGAGGACAGTAGGAGGAAGGAGATTGTTCGGAGGGAAAAAGAAGGCAAGATGAAAGCAGCAGGATGTGGTGTAGAGTTAAGCCTCCAGCAGACAGGAGGGGTGGGTTTAGGCAAAATGTGGGCTAAAAGTAGGCCAAGTCTGGTTCAAAGGACTTTTCTGCGCTGCTCTGTCTTCCCACTCGTGCTTCCCTTCTTCCTGCACTCAGGGACACTGATTAAGGACCTGGTTCCCAGAGCTGAGATGATCTCCTGGGGCATTTGTTAAAACACAAGATTCCCCAGGCCCAAGCCTGCAGCACAGCTTTCCAGAGTGGAGTCTGGTATCTTTATTTAAAAAAAAAATTTTGGTAAACCCCTGCAGTGGTGGTACTGGAGCTTGAGAACCATGTATGATGCAGAAGAGACCTGAATTGCGACCTGAACCAGGTGTGTGGCCTTTAGCGTCTTACTATCCCTGTGCCAGACTTCAGCTTCCTTATCTATTAAATGGGCCCTAATACCCGTCTACAGGGCTGTGTGGAAAATTAAAAGAGACAGTGTGCTGAACACAAACATACATGGAAGAAGCTCCAGGGCGGTTAGTAGAACAAGAGTGGGCATCAAGTGTTCCCTTGCGTCTTCTGGGTGGACTCCGTGGTGTGTCTCTATGTAGGAGAAGGCCACATTAGATGGTCAAACTCTTTCTGTTTCAGGATGACCTCCCCTGCCTTTTGAAGCATAACTAGCCAAGACTGTGGGAGCAGGAAGGGGGTCTTTGTGTGCTGGGCCTCTGTGGGGCAGTGACAGATGATTCTTGATCTCTCCTCCCCAATCTTCACTGGAAGCAGACTGTCCCTTTTGCCTCCCAGCTTTGCTTTCCTCTCTCCCATATACTACTTTTTGTTCCTTTCAAGAATAATGGAGGGGGCCCTGGGGAAATAGCTCAGTAGAATAAGTGCTTGCCTGGCAAACAAGGTCCTGAGTTCAATCCCCAGTACTGAAGAAAAAAAAAAAAAAAAAAGAATCATGGAGGAAAGCTAACTGGTGGTTCTGGGCAACAAGTGTCTTGGGGGTTGGTGCTGGTGTAAGTGAGGAGGCAGGGGTGACGGCTGTGGCTGACTGGCTGGTGGAGGCTGCTCCATCCTGCTGGGTTAACCCCAGTGGCCAAGAAGTGGGGAGGAGAAGGGCCAGCAGCCTCTCACCTGGGCAGCTTAGGACCTGGAAGCTCCAGCCTGGATTTAGCTGAGCACTTGAGCAGGTACATGTGGTACTGTTTAAAGCAGGGCTGCACTGGGGACCCAGAAGATCTTTTTGGCTTCAGCTGGTGGGCTGAAAGCTTGAATCAACTTATTAAGTGAGGAATCTTCTAGAGGGATATGATAGAGTGATAACCACCAGGTCACAGGTGAGGTGTCTAGTTTGATTTTTGAGCTTTGGGCACAGCTGAGAAAGACAGAGGGAAGACTCCACCTGGTTTATGCTCAAAAGGAAGATGACGTCTACAGGAAATATGGATTGCATATTAATATGTTTTATCAGTTTGAGGATTGCAAGTTTTTCTACTTTTAGTGATGAAATCAAGGTACATCTGACCAGCTGTGGCATGCACAGTTGTAATAGCTGTAATAATTCTTTAGTGGCACACAAAATACTCATGCATCTTACAATGGATGGCGTCTTAGATGATGTTAAAGAGGTACACAGGCACACACAGAATTATGTTCTCATATTTGGCCCACAGTTTTCCAGTAGCTCTTCCTCCTAACTACCAAAATTTCAATGTATCCCATTTTAAAAGAGACCTTTATAAGAGACATATAGCAGGTTAGATCTGATTTAGTAGATTTTCTTATTTTGGTTTGGTTTTTTTGGTTGTTTTGGCAGTACTGGGGATTGAACCCAAGGCCTTCACACTAAGCTATATCTTCAGACCTTTTTTTATTTTTTATTTTGAGACAGCAAATAGCTAAATTGCCTAGGCTGGGCTTGAACTCACATGCTTCCTGCCTCAGCTTCGCAGAGTGCCAGGATGATAGCTGTGTGCCACTATTCTTGGCTCTGACTTAATAATTTCTTGAAATTTGTTTCAAGTGGTTTTAATCTCTCCTTCTGTTGTACACTGGCCTGCTGAGGATACATTTTCTGCTTTTCTCTCCGATCCTTCTTGTGCTCTTTTTTCCCTCCTCTGGCTGTGGTGTCAGACACTATGCTAAGTACTTCAGGTCCTTTAGTCATTACAGCCACACTCTGAGATGGCCACAACTATTGTTGCATTTTGCACATCAGAAAACTGAGGGTGAAGGCCATTCGACCAGAAAGTGCCAAAGCTGGGTTCGCTCTGGCTTCTGCTCTTGGCCAGAGGTGAGCAAGCGCGAGTGACAGCTGGTGTGTCTGTGGGTGTGAAGCTCATGCCCTGCCCTTCTGGGCCATGTACTATGGTTGTGCAAGGGTGTTTTCTCTTAGTTGACTCAGTTGCATTTCAGCTGGAAGCCCTACAGAGCTGCCCATACCAGTCAGTGAAGAACAATGCCTATTACCCTGGCCACAAGGCTGCCTGCCATCCAGCCCAGACTTCTCTGCATTTGCATGTGCTGTTCCTTCCCCCTGGATCTTCATTCCTTTCTCCTGCCTGCCTGGTGAGCTGGACACCTCCTTGAACATTGAGCTCAGACTTCTGAAGTCTTCCGCAAGGCCCTCCTCACCCCATAACACTGAACATCCCTCTTTCCACCTCCCACTGTAGCACTGCCCACCCTGGGCTGAGGAGACTGACCAGTGACTTGGCACAGCTGTGGACTGCTCATTGGAGCCACTTGCTGGTGTGACTCTCCCCAGGAGCTCTTGGGCAAGGAGCCCATCCATGCACGCCCACAATAGAAGCTGCCTAGACACAGAGAGGGTAGGGGTGGGGTCACCAGGGAGTGGCATGCTTTTCATTTTCATGTCCTCCAGAGTCTTCTTGCTGCTGTTGTTGACCTAGGCAAATGAGCTTGTGGGTTTCCTCGAGGGGGCAGGGCTGGGGTATGAGGGCTCAATGTGACTTCCAGCTTCTGCTTTGAGAAAAGTCAGGGGCCCCTGCTTTGGCCTGACATATCGACTCCTAGCAATGTCCCTGTGCCTCTCTAGTATGGGTCTCCCTGTCTACACAATGGAAGTGGCACTCAAGGCCTCCCCAGCTCCTGCCTGCCCTATCATATTTGGCTTCTGTGCTCAGCACTTTGGTACTGTACATCCTCTGCATGCGAGCCTGGGCTAGTCTCTGAGGGCACTGAGCAAGACAGACTTCACTCCTGCTCTCATGGGAATGACTGTCTAGTGGTCAAGCCACGTCCATCTCTGAATTACATTTGTGAGGACACCATACCATGAGATTATGTAAAGCAAGCCTAATGCAGTGGGGTTTAAGGAGGACCTCCCCCCTCAAATCATATTTGAGTTGATACTCGAGAGATATAAAAAAACAGAAATACTGGTGATGATCGTAATAATGCAATCTCACATTGAGAAGACGCTTGAGGCTCTTTGGGTAGGTTATCTCGCATATTCTCTAAAGCGATGCTGCAGGGGCAGTATGTGGAGCTCCTCTCCTAAGAGAAATTAACCACCACACAACTGCTGGCCATCACCTAATTCTGTGTCTGGTAGGGATGAGTGCCTCATTCCCACATTCCTCCTTCACCCCATATTATGGACAGTAAGGTGATAACTCCACTAAGGGAGATTCCCCTTCCCTTTTTGCTAATCATGACTTAGTTGCATTTCAGCTGGAAACCCTACAGAGAGCATATCCCATTCAGAATCCTCTTCCTCCGTGTCTCCCATTAGGGGCTAAGGGAGAAGACTGGGGCCTGGGGAAGAGAGAAGGAAAGAAGCTTGGGGAGTGGGAAGAGCACTTGTATAGCATATGCATGAGGCCCTGGGCTTGACTCCCAGCATCACAGAAAATAAAATAAAATGAAGTCGCATGTGATTTGTAAAAAAACAGCTAAGAGAGTCCATTCTCTGATGAACCTCTCCCTCCCCACCCAACTGCATCTTCATTCTGTCCTCTTGGAAGCCACTATTCTTGCAGGGCTCAGAAACCCAACACTTGATTTCCTGTGTCATCCAAGAAGTCATCTGTCTGGCTCTCACATCCTTCTTCATCCACAGCGGTGCTGCCAGAATGCTGGAGTCTGTGCAGACATACTGCCTGGTGTTCTCTCTGGGTGTTTGTTCCTGCATGGTTTGGTGGTGTGGGTTCTTGTCAGGCAGATCTTCGCACAACCACTTCCACCCCGGCTGGCCAAGGTGGCTAATCTCCTCCTGTTTGTTTTTTTAATTTGTTAGATCATATCTGTACTCACAGATCTTCCAGAAGAGCCTCCAACTCTCCTGAGATACTGGGCCCCTTTGAAAAGCTGATGGGGGAAAAAAAAAGAAAGGCTGATGGGAGTAATAGATCAATAAGCTTATGTGTACCTGCAAACACATGTGCACTCATATGCACACACATGTTCTCT